AATAAAAAGAACAAAAATCATCTGTCTTTCACAAGATAACCAGGGTTGGTGTTAGTTGGTATCTGTATGGTAATGATAAGTTGACGTAATGTTTTTAGCCCCATTTTCTCGCAGAAATACTCAAATTGATCACCACTCTGGCTATGACCTGCCCCTATGGCATAGTAATGGCCATTCTGCACATTGATGCATTCAGAAAATCTGTAGCTCCAACGGTTTAGAAAGATAACAGCTATGCGGTAGTAGACTTTTGAATGAAAAAGGGCGCTGGTCATTTGCGTTGCTGAGCTCGCACACATCGAGACTAAAGAAGATGTTATTGTGAACAGCACTATATATTACTAAATAATGTCTCATCTTTCGAGCTATTACAAAGGATACGCGCATAATAAATACAATATAGAGGATAATCCTAAAGGCATAAGGTCAATACCATCTATACACCTAAATTAAAACCTTACCATATCTTAGCCAGGTCCTCGACTACTAAGTACTGTCTTTACCATGCATCTGAACGATGTAGGTCTCTATAATGCAAGTTGTGCTAAGAGTAGAAGCGCAGACTTCGCCGTTATTTTTTAAGGGATTTAGTCTTAATTCTTGCTATCAGTCTTAATCTCCGCGCTGAAGATGCTCGAGTAGCGCACCGCACGACAACCACACACAAACACATCAGCACACCAGACATACATATAAACACACACCGTCGGCCCGGCGTCAACTGTTTGGGACATTCCATAACGCACAGCCACACACACACCACACACACCGGCACACACACAACACGCATCGACGTACCTGCCACACGATACCAGTACGTGGGGGGGGACCAGCGGCACATCGTAGAACAGGAGATAAGGATAATCATTTGGGGCGTCAAAGGTCAAGATGTGTAAAATGACGAATATTTCCGCTCTTTAAGCCTAGTAGGTATGAGAGAGAATGACGGATTGCGGACCATCAAATTTGTAAATGGCGTCGACCCTAATGCTCTTAATAATCGTGTATAGTGTATGGGCCAGGGAAACGCCCATCCCCCATTGCGAAATTGGGTGTCACAGGTCAAAGGGTCATGGGAACGTAATATCCGACATTTCTGAGGACACTGGCCTAGAGAACGGACGCACCATAGTAACAAAGCACTTTTTGCATCAAATACATCCACACATCATACACACAGACACACCACATCACCATGTCCCAACACACACCACATACACACACACAACATTTTCATCACTTAAACACTATCTCCACAGCCAGACGACCAGTAGGACCCGATCAGGAATGCTGCACATCTACACCCACACTACCGACACACACACACCACACATACACAGCGACACAGCAACACAGCACACACACCCATGCCCCGAGCTAACGTCATAGTTATCATTGCAGTCCAGTCCATTGCATGGCCATGAGCGTGCACATGTTGACGACACGCCAATGCAAATGAGCAGGCCGTGGGCCGAAGGGCGTGAATCGAGGTGTAGGTAGGCGGTGTGTGTTTTGGGGGGATTGTAATGAGAGATGGAGTGAGAGGAGCGAGATGTGTTGTGTGTGTGTGTGTGTGTGTGTGTGTGTGTGTGTGTGTGTGTGTTTTTATGTGTGTGTTTGTGTGTGTGTGTGTTTGTGTGTGTGTGTGTGTGTGTGTATGTATGTGTGTTCTTGTCCTTGCTATGACCCCCCTAGGTATGTAATGGCCATTCTGAACATTTTGAGCACCTCAGAAAATCTGTAGCTCCAACGGTTTAGAAGATACAGCTATGTCGGTAGTAGCACTTTCGATGAAAAAGGGCGTGGTCATTTTCGGGCTGTTCGCCCCGGATAGAGATTTTGGCACACATCCCAAGTTGTTCCTCGGGGTCAAATTAGCCTATAACAATTGAGATACCATCTCCTAAATTATGCGCATACATATCTTAGCCAGGTCCTCTACTAAACGGTGAAATGCTGAAACCATGTTGCAGTATTAGTCGAATTAATAAACTTTCCCCGTTTGATTTTGACGATTCTTTGATCAGTCACATGAATTGAATTTGAATTCTTTGACCAGTATTATTGATCAGCTTTCCTACCTGGCTAATATAAAACAAACCGCTTGTCCCTACGATGCCCATACGCAGAGATAATGAGCGGTGAAAATCTGGTATTTTCGCCGAAAACCGACTCCAGATCAGTCAGTACTGCGACTGTCTCTCGTTCTGGCGATAGCTTCGAAAACGGACGGAGAACGATTTTCATTCAGAAGGAGAAACTAACATTTTCTAATTACGTGTGCTATTTCCTTTTTGCAACTGCATGGCCTATGCTAACTGGCTCAGTACGCAGGACCTATACATAATTATTTAATGGTTATTATGGTTATCAGTCGTTGTGAAATATGTCATTTGGTAAGCAATACGCTAGTTGTTATGTGACAACCGAAATGGTTATGCAGTATGCTAATATTTACGTAATAATATAATCAGGCGTAATAATTTCCTGATATAATGTTTATGCGATATTTCAATAGTTGTGCAATAGGTCATCGTCATACGTAATGTACTTTCGCTATAATTTTGCCGACGTTGGACATGCAATCGAACTCATATACGTATTTGGCTTAGCATTCCAACCATCTTTTGAAGTATGCGTGCAACCTATACTAACCTCTATTTCTACATTGCATTTTTATTCAATAAAAACGGGATAGACATTTTACGGAGACGATTTTTATTATGTGGACCGACTTTGCTAAATACGGGTAAGCACACCTATTAGAGCCGAGCGAAATTTCAATGCTTTTAACTGTTGTCACTGTACATTTAACTACACGAATGCAGCAGCACTAAAACCAGCTAATTAGCGAGAAGTCACTGCTAAGCAGTAAAACCTAACCTATAAGTAGCAAGTGCAAGAAAATTTGTCATTGAGGGCATTAGTAGCAGTGTTCTTGTCGCGACCCTAGCCACGCCCAACATGTGTGAACATGGCGCTCAAAACGGAACAAATTGGTTACAATTTAGAAAGAGTTAGAGTAGTATGTCACTGGAGCCTTTTAGCAAAGTTTCATGTATAAAAGTTTAAAACATACTATAGATTGCGAC